ATTGAAATTAGTTTGGGTTGTTAGAGAATACAGATCATTGTATTGGTTTTACGAGGAAATACTAGCTTTGAAGAACACCAAAATCAACACTAGTATTTATATCACTAAACCTGAAAATGAAGCTCACGTTGAAGAATTTAACAAGCGTATTCCAGCAGTCACAAATGATTCTGCTTCTGATATTGACATTAACGTCGAGAAGAAGTTCGAGAACGTGAGTGACTCTGACTCTTGTAAAGAGAAAGTGACCAGTGGCGATGATTCAAGCGAGGAAGTTCTTGACAAAAACAGAATCAATGAAATCGTGAAATCTGAATTATCTCATGTAACTTTCAAAGAAGGAAGGCCATCTATGGAAGAAATGGTTCTTCAAGAAATAGAAGAATCAAATGGATCGGTGGCATTCGTTACTTGTGGACATCCAGTAATGGTAGATGATTTACGTCGTTCTGTGGTTAGAAACCTACACAAGTCAAATGGTAAGCGTGTTGAGTATTTTGAGCAATTACAAGTTTGGACATGATTTTTAATCCCTTTAGTTCATAGTTTTTAATGGTATTTTGAGTATCGCATTTATATTAAGGACACGTTTGGAAACATAGGACCTTTTATATAGACCATATATATAAATGACCTATCCTTAGAAAGATCCCCCTACTTTTATAGGACTCATTTTTAAAACTATCTTTGAACATTATAAAGTACTCGTTAAACTACTTTCAATTAGATTTCTTATATGTTGTATTTACTAGTAGTTAAATTGATATCAATCTATGCGTATATGAATTCTGAGGCATCACTTAATAAAACAATAAATCAACTCGATTGTTTTTCATTATCTATATCTTTAAACATCTCATCTACTGAAGCACCTAAATAAAGTCTTAAAGTTCGCCTTGTAGCAGGGAGTATTTTGCATTTCACTAATGTTTCTTTGTTTCCTTCTGATCCTATCCTGTCGTATGCCTGAAATCTATGACACCCACCAAATGCAAAGTAGTACGTTTTACCCTCTTCTCTAACTTTAAAAACATCCACAGGAGGTAATTCTCCTGAATCAATATCTTCAATATTACAGGTTGCAGAGGCCATAGGTGTACCTTGAAGGGTTGACACCATTGCATCTATCTTTTGATAATCCAAAACCGGGGGAATCGGTCTTCTTATTTGATTTAATGGAACATAATCAATTTTTAAATTTGACGATTGTAATGACATATTTTGTGTTTTATGCTTAGAAAGTGATAACCTGAATTTCGATACTGTTGAACATTATTTATACTTGCTGCAATCTCGAACTTTAATAAGCGAGCAGTTTCTGGACTGCGATTACTAAATAGAAAAAGTCTAAGACTTTCAAAATTCGCAAAAATTCTGGTATATTAATAATAATACATAATGATAGGCTAAGACCCTAAGATGATTCTTGACCTTCCTTGGCTATGAAATGTGAAGATATATGATTATAAATGCCATGTAGTCGTTGTTGGTTATTTGATAGTTGTATCACAAAACAAGAACCAGACAAAATATTTATCAAACGGAATACCATATAAAACAGTACGTCATAACTTGATCACAATGTGTAGACTTTATTATAATGATCCCAATCGCTCAAACTATTTAGTTAAGTCAAATATTTCAGTGTTGTGACCGTAATTACTGCTAGTCCAAAGAGAGTAAAAAGAACATTCCATAATCGCTTTACTTTGAGAAGTCGTGGACAAGTCTACGACTTCATACCCCTAAGCATGAAGTCAAGAGTAAAACATCCCATGAAGTCTCTGTAAAGTATCCATAAAGTTTTTGTACAATAATATACTAAATGGCGCTTAATGCGTTGGTTGCGTATTGCAATACGTCGTGTACAGTATGAAGGACTGCCTTATAGAACAAAAAATATACAGCAAGTAGGGGTGTCCAATAAAGCCGAATCGCGCAATAAAGTTATCTTTAAGATCAAAAAATTATCTGATGAAATCTGTTTACAATTCCGACCTCGGTAATGCTAAAGATAAAAACGATGAGCTTGATTATGTTATTATCTAATTTTATAGACGACTTGTTATTTAATGCCAATATACGATTAAAGACTAAAGGATAACAATTGGATACGAATAGTAAAATGTAGACTTCGTATCGTATTAAAATTACCCTGTTCAAGTCGCTGGTCGGATATGGTCGGATGTTGTAACGTTCCGGGGTTTTTTTTCATTCGAAAATTTATTGGAGCCATACAATTTTGCCTTGTAAATTTATAAATATACGATCCGTAGAGATAAATAGAATTCGAAGCACGAAGCAAAATTACTTATTTATTGCATTTATTGCAATTACCAGAACATATATCTAATATCAGGTATTACAGATTACTTTATTCATTATATGAGTCCTATACTTGATCTGAAAATTGACTTTAGTAAGTGATTGTGTTCCAAAAACTAATTGTTTCATAACATGTATTACACATGGGCATATATATCGTTGATCATAGCCATACTATTGACACCTTTTTTAATACCCACGAATGGTGCTTTAGCCTTGAAATATAGAAGAATAAAAGTGGTGTTAAGCATATGTTTGTTGATATCAATATTAATCAGTCTAACACCGGAGAAAGCAGTTGAAGGGGGACCAGTCCAAAAGTTTGGTCAATCAACAATTGCACTTTTAGGATGCAGCTTTCAAATAATGAACTTGGGTACATTTTGTGACCCAAGTTCGGGAGTAAATGCTCGTGAATGCTTTTGCGTTAATCCAAATGCTATGTCAACTATTTCGTACTGTTATATGACAGCTCACCAAGGACAAATAGATTCGTTCTTAAAAACTTGTAAAACAGAGTTTAATGTAACAGTCACAAGACAAGTGTTTGAGGAATCATTCATCAATTATACCAAATACGCTAGATTTCCAGACCAGCTTGATCCTTCCAATGTAATAAATTATCCAATAAAATTGAATGACTCAGTGATACTGACATACAAACATGCATATGACCAGTTCTTAGGTAATTATGATAGATCTGTATATTATGGTGGTGTATTGCTTTTGTATTGGCTTATCGTCTTTTTGCTTGCAGCTATAGGGAATTGGTCAAAACTTTTATTCCCTAGTATCGTCATGAAAATGACGGGTAAGATTTCTAATGTGCTTCGTCAAAAAATAACTTTACCAGCTACAGGAGGGAAAAAGAAGACAAACGAAAAACCTTTTCTTAAGATATTGGACATGTTGGTTCCTACAAGGGCCGAAACTTTAATAATAATGGGGTTTTTAGCCTTAACAGCTCATCTTTTACAGAGCAAAATTGAATATATTGATGGGGACCCTATTTTCGACAACAAAATATCTGCCTTGTTACGTTATACAGCTGTAAGAGCAAGTATTATTAGTAGTGAAACCATACCTTTGCTAATTCTATTTGGAGGCAGGAATAACTTTTTACAATGGTTGACAAGATGGGATTATTCAACATTTATTACTTTTCATAGATGGTTGTCACGAATTATATTTTTTCTTGTTGTCATTCATGCCATCTGCTATTCTGTTTACATGGGAGATTACTTTGAGAGTATGCACGAGGCTTATTTGATATGGGGTGCCATTGCAACAGTTTCCGGAGGTTTTATAATGATTCAAGGATTATTAGTATTGAGAAGAAGATGGTATGAAATGTTTTTGATGATACATATTGTTCTTGCAGCGGTATTTATCGGTGCTTCTTGGGTACATGTTAATGATTTATACTGCCTTTGGTTTTATTATTATGCTACGGCAATATGGGTCTTTGATAGGGTCATAAGAATAGGAAGACTTTGTTCGTTTGGTTTCCCTAAAGCAAAGGTTATCTTACTAGCAGATGAAACTTTGAAAATCATAGTTCCAACCCCAGAACACTGGGAATCTATTCCTGGAGGACATGCATTCATACATTTCTTGACTCCTTCTTGCTTTTGGCAATCCCATCCATTTACATACACTATTGCGGTTGATGATCCCAATAAAATAGTGTTGTATATTAAAGTGAAGGAAGGTGTAACCCAAAGTATGTATAAGTATTTACTACAACACCCGGGTAAGAGCACTTATATTAGAGTTGCAATCGAAGGCTCTTATGGTGAGTCAACTGCCGCCAGTAGATATGATACTGCAGTATTTATTGCTGGTGGTAATGGAATACCTGGTATATACGCAGAAGTGTTCGACTTAGCAGTTCGTGGTAATGATTTAAAACAATCATTAAAACTCGTATGGCTTGTTCGGGAGTACAGTTCATTATTTTGGTTTTATGAAGAATTATTAGCATTACAAGATACTAAGATTGAGACCACGATCTATGTTACAAGACCAGAATCACACATTTGTTTAGAAGAATTCAATAATCGACTTCCAAATACTGACATGGATATATCGAATGATCTGAGTCATGGTAATGCGACAGTGTTGGGGAATATGTCTAATAAAGAACATAAGCAAGGTGATATCGTCAGGAAAGTCAGATCAGAGTTGAGTCAAATTAAATTTATAGAGGGAAGGCCAATGATGGGCTTGATGGTGTCACAAAATATTCAGGAAGCAAAAAAGTCGGCTGCTTTCATAACATGCGGTCATCCAAACATGGTAGATGACATCAGAGCTTCAGTTGTAAAAAACATCGATAATGAAGATCATAAGAGGGTAGATTACTTTGAGCAATTACAGGTTTGGGCTTAATAAATTATATTTCTATTTCTATTTAAGACTAATTTTCCCAATTTAGCATATTCTTAATAACGCGGTGGTAAATTGCAATGTAGATCGCTTATGCTCTTCACTTCAAGGGTTAGCAGTTTGGGATTTTTTTCGGAATGCTATACCTTGATTATTTGCTTAGAATAATAGGCAGAGATAGAATGTAGTGATCCGATAAAACATACACAATTTTTCAAACTAACTCTCAGGACATTCCGATGCAAAATGCCCTTCTTTTAAACAGTTGTAACATAGAAGTTTCTCCGTCTGTTCTTGTTTATCATTGCATCCTACAAAACGATCTTCAAGGGCATGGATGAATTGTTGGAACGTTTCATCCATATATTCCTTAGAACTCCTACGATCATAAAACCATTCCTCAGCTTGACCTGTCATGTTTCTACCACTCAAAGTAATTAACTGACTATCACGGAGGTTCAAACATTTTGAAATTCTAATAATTTCACTGATAAAATAAGTAATCCTATCAGGATCTTTATCTCCAGAATAGGGTAAAACCGTAGCATGAGTGAGAAATAAGCGTGTTTCTCTATCTACAGCTTCTTGCCCTATAATATCTCTCGTCCCAGCCTTTTCTCTTAATTCATCATCAGATTTTGTCTTTTCTTTTTCATTTTGCAATTTGGCCGCAAGTTCTGCCATATAACCTGGACTTCTGATCAACATTTTTTTAATTAATAACAGATATTTTGATAGTTTGTTGAATTTCTACTAATTATAACAAAGCTAGGGCTTTATAATAAAGGTTTTATATGAAAAAGTGGACTTCTAACAGTCCAAATGTAAGATATTCTCCTTTAATTTTTAAATAACTTAAAACCACTAACCATCTTTTTTATCATGATTCAAGGGGATCAACACTATTTATACTGTTTCATTTTTGCAGCACTTTTTGGCCTCACATATATATATTTGTTCTCAAATCATACCTCTCACACTTACAA